TGACCTCTTCCAACCCCTCAAGCGCCTAGTCACTGTTCGTGATGGGTTTGTGTCGTTCCGTCATCCAATGATCCGAGAGCACCTCCAAGCACGGGCTCAAATGCGCCAGGAATTGTCATTCTCTTTGGCGGATGCTCATTTTGACCTTTTGATCCGCTGTTTAGCCTGGGTTCGCCGTACGGTCACTGACGAGGTCTCCCTCTCATGGGACAAGATGAGCGTGTTTGTACGCGACCGTTACTTGGACGCTTATGTCTTGCTTGAGTATACCGCACGCTATTGGCTATCGCATATGCTGGCATCGCCAATGGCATCTTCCGATCGTGAGATCTCTTTTGACGCAACATTCCGCCGTGCTCTACCCGACACTGTTCTCTTCGCCCAGTTGGAGCTTACTAACAGGGAGTCCCAGTTCAGTCGCTCAAGCATTGTGGAATTATACAGGTTGGCTGTTGGTGTTCGTCGTGTGGTTCTGGGGAACGAGTCTCCCGCTCTTCTACAGAGCTTGCTTCTCAGCGCTCGTGCTGCGGAACAGACACATGCCGGCTGGGCCAATGATCACCTGTACGAGGCTTGGATGCGCAGTCGTTCGCAACTGGGACCTTCCAACGCAATTACACGTGACCTTGAACAAATGCTTGTAGCCAACGGACAAGCGGATCGCACCGCAGGCATGAAGACTGATGCCCTGAAGGACATGGCACTTTCAGGATGGGGCTCATCCGACATTGGCTTTGCCCAAAGACTGCAGTACCTTGATAAACTGGTGAAGTCTTATAATGCCAACAAACAACATGATGAGGCGTACTCTGCTGCTAAGCAGTTTTACCACCAGACAGTGCAGACGTACGGTGCTCATTCACCTGAAACCATGTCAGCAGCCGATTACCTCACCAAGAACTTTGAAATCGCGCCTCCGGACGAGTTGGCGCTGGAGCTTGCGCGAACCAAGTATGAGACAATGCTTCATTCGATGGATGCGACCGACCCGCGGCGAGTAGCCTATTCCCTCTACCTAGCCAAGATGTATGAGGAGAATAACCAGATCGGAAAAGCCGACGCAGTGCTGTCTCGACTGTGGGCAGGCCTATCTGCTCGCGGCTCCGATTCCACAGACTCCTGGGATCAGAAAACAAGGGTGGCCTTCTATTACTCCCAGTTCCTGCGCCGCCAGCGTCGTCCCGAACAGGCTACAGGCATACTGCGCGACCTAGAGGTAGATTTGGAGACAGGGGGCGGCGTGAATTCGCCACAGATGGTTAAACGTGCCGAGGAGCTTCGCGGTGAGGCTCGGCAGATGGATCTGAAAGATATGGATCGTGCCCTTGCTCTGCAAATGTGGAAGTATTACAAATATTCTGGCCAGCAATACACCCCTCAAGCCGTCTCTCTGGCCGAGTCTCTCACCGAAGGGATTATTCCCACCAAAAGTACTGCCAGCTCCATCGGTTCGTGCTTGTCGACACTCTCCCCAGAGGATAATGAACTGCTCCCTGGCTGGATTGATACTGTTGCATCAGCTGGCAGTGAGCGTGACCTAATGTCAATCCTGGCCCTATCTCACCAGCTGGCAAGTCAACGAATGGCAGCAGAGAAATGGCGTGAAGGAAATGAATGCGCCTGGGCAGTGCTAAAGCACCTCTGGCCTACTGTTGAGGACCCATATTCCAAGGCAAGGTTCCCCTCGGAGCAGGCACCCCTGATGGCCAGCCTAGCTCTCGATCACGCGTACTGTCTGTTCCGGCGCCTGGACGTGGCACTGGCTACCATTGTATATGGGAATGCTTTCAAAGCATCCATCACCGCGGATCAAGTGGCCGTTCCTTCGGTTACGACTGTCGTCAAAACTGTCGTCGAGTTCTATGAGACGACCTTCCAATTTGACAAAGCAATGGTGTTGTTGCACCAGGTCAGCGACTTCTTTGCATCGAGACTAGGCAGTAACGATAAGCATACCCTGGACAGTCGCTATTATGAAGCCGATCTGGCGCTTCGCCTTGACCGTCGCAGCGAGGCGGAAGACAGCTACAGTAAAATTTACAAGGCCTGCATCCCAGACGGCAGGGTAACATCGTCTGGCGTTCGGGCTGCAGTAGCTTTGGTCACTTTGTACGAACAAGACAAGAAGTGGGAAGATGCCCTTGATGTGTACCGGCACTTGTGGCCCACCCTCGTGCATTTTGATGAAAAAGACGGGTATGACCGGGCTCTTTTGGAGGGCTTGCTTCCCAAGACCTACAGTGGATACATGTCTATCTTGGAGAACTCGCCATCTGAAGCCGGGGACAATGAGCGGTACCAGATAGCCTCGCAGCATCACCAGCTCTGCAGGAAGCTGTATGGTCCTACCGACCCCCGCACCCGTGACGCGACTATGGCCCTTGCAGGAATCTGTTCTGGTCATCCCCAGCGTAGAAGCGAGGCACTTCAGCTCTATGAACAAGCTCTCAAGACGAATGATTGGGTTCCAACTTCTGAGGCTTCGCGGTCGCTTCCTGACATGACCCAGCCACTGCCTATGGATATCAAGCATCGCATGGCCCAGTTATTCATGCTCCAGAAGGATACATCCCCGCAAGCGCGGGCCTTCTATACCGAAGAGCTTGCTTTGTCGAAGCAGCAGCAAGGGCTATCTGCACCAACGACGCACCTGTGGCTTCGTGAGATAGCGCGACTGTATGCCCTTCAAGATAATCCAGAGTCTCGCCGCCATGGAACCGAGCTGCTTCATGAGCACGTCGATGAAGTCGTTCATGTCACCGCCAACCACGATACACTAGTGGAACGTGCCCATAGCCTGGCAGAAATCTACCTTGAATGCGGGTATATTGATGAAGGCTGGGAGCTCATCAACGAGCTGCACCAGCAGGTGATACATGATACACCGGCTTCTCACCGCCAGAATCTGGGCGAGTACCGACCTGCTGCATTCGTTGCAGCGTTCGAGGAAGTGTTTGGTCGAACACGTTCTTCGCGACAGATCTTGGATGACTTGTCTCGCGAAGGGCGGGTCTATAGTGTCTTCCAACAGCATCTGTCCAGCCATGACCTTATGCCCACCCTGGCGGCAGGCGACAAGCTGCACCAGCTGCAAATGGAGCAGAAGCGTAGCGCCGCGGCTCAAGACACCCAGGACAAGCTTTACGAATACTTCTGCAACACGCTCTCGGTGGCGCAACCGCTGCGGAAGAAAGATGTTGTGCACCAGTTCTACGTCATGTGCCGTCGCGAGTCGCCCAATGATGACTACAACATCAATATCGTGACGCAGGCTACTGGACTAGTGCGAGACCTGTGTAACCGTTCACGCTTCCAGGATGCGGCTGACGTTACTGGCGTCTTCCACTCATTTGTCCACTTGACTGACGGACTACGGTTGGCGGAAAGTATCTTTACTGCCATCAAACTTTGCCTGTATCTTTGCGGCTACAAGGTGAACAAGTGCACTGAAGCCACGACTGCGAAGAATATGTCGTTCGAGTCGCAAATGCTCCTGCAGGAGATCATGGCCAACGCGCGAGATCTCCCGATGGAATACGCCGAGTTACCCTTCTCGGAGCTCAATGACTTGGTGACTGTTTTGGGTGAACATGAGATGTTCGAAGACTTGGAAGTAAGCGACATTCCCCCCATGTCAAGGTACTTACTAATAAAATCTTTCCTAGTCTATCCTCACCGACCTCTGGACCTCCCGTGTTGTGCAAAAGACCTGGTCCCTACCCGCTGTGGTGTGGATTGGTCGCCGGCTCGTGGAAACACGGTACTGTCGCGGCCAGGTCAGCGCTGCAACGGCGCTTGGCAAGGATATCTGCTACAATCTGCGCCAGGTCTGGGGTAATGCCGACCCGGTGACGCTGGAGATGAACAAGCTGCTGTCTGGCCTCTACACAGCGTCGGGCAACCATCTTGCTGCCGCCGCTCTGCACGAGACCGCCCTTGCAGAGCTCTTGAACAGTGAGACCAGTGATCACAATGCGGCCGTAAACGCAGTGACCCAGCACCTGGAGTTGTTGCAGTACGCCCAAGGACGCCTGGCCAAGGAGGGCCAGAGCGCAGCCATTGACGCCACGGCTGCCCAGGAACGCGTGCAGGACATCGCCACGAAGTTCGGACTCTCACCCACCAAGCTCGAAGCCGGCAAAACCGACGGGTCGATGGGCATGTGGCAGCGCCCGCGCCGGTTCAGCCTGGACGTGGAGGAGCTGGAGACCCATCAGAACCACCTCCGCCAATCCAGCGGATCGGCGCTGCTGACGGGCAACGGAGGGGCGAAGCGTCTCTCCATTACTGCCTTGTAATGGATGGAATGGGATGTAGCGCGATTTTGATGTTAATCAACCAGACTGCCTGTGTATTTTGTAAATGATGTATATCCAATCCGGAAGAATAATTGGGTGGACATAGGGTAAGGTAGTGTATAGTACGGAGTTAATGAAACTTTTGTTTGTCCTATTCATGTGTAGGCCTTTCGGAAAACACTGTAAACTCCGGAATTCTGGAGAGTATGCCCTCCCAGCAATCGAGATGGTATCCTCGTGGCGCATGGAGATAAGTTTCACCCAGGTTCTTATCACCGAACCCTAACTCAGTACGCAGATTTTCCGAAGACTGTTGACAACACGAGGTGTATGTAGTTGACCTTAAGTACTACGTAATGTTAGAAATAGTAGCTTCACTAAATGAAAGTACACACATACACACACACGCATCAATAAACCCACACCATCTGTTACCCCCATCCACAAATACACCCACCTATGCACAACCCCCATCCACCATCTCAATCCAAGACATGTCCCCAATCCCAATCCCAATCCCAACATCAATCCGCTCATCCCCCCAATCTTCAAGACCAACCGCACCGGACCGCACTGCACCCTAAATGACCTCCCTCATAATTTAACCTTCCTCCAACCCCCAACTCCTGCGCACTCCCACCCTCCCGAAATGCAATGCGTCGGAGGCGTTGCATTGGCTGGATCTTTACTCTTACTATGATGTTATTGGGTAGAGGTAGCGGACGTCCAAGTTGTTGGGCGTCTTGCTGGCTGGGGAGTTGGCGGCGAGGTTGGAATCCGGGCTTGGGGAGGAGCAAGCGGGAAGAGGAAGGGGGGCGGGGGGGCTGGATTGCGTGAGTCTGGGGTTGTGTCGGTCACGGTTGTTGCGGGAGGATGAAAAGAGGCGAGGAGAGTGGCGGCCAGGGTGGCGTTGAGGGTGTTGGGGAGTGGCGAGTCGGCTTCTCGAAGATATTCGGCCGGGGGCGATATAGTTTTTGTTGTAGGTTGGTTGCACTTGCAATGGAGGCAGTAGTCATGGCCGCTCATTTTTGTATCTTTTGTTCTCTTGAAACAGTCTTGCTGTATTGCTTCTATCTTACACTGCATCATCGTCATCACCATCATCAATGAGTCATGCTTGCTATGTACTTCCTAGCGTATATACAAAGTTATTCACAGATTGCTGTTCCTGTCAATCATATTCCCAGGCGCAGCAATCAAAACATCCCTCTCCGGGAACGGGCACCCCATCCCTCCTCTTTGCCCACGCTCAGTCGCTCATACCGCTCGAGCATATCATGCATCCCGGTCGCCGCCGACGACTGCACGTCGCTTCTCATCCCATCGATGTAGCTGGGGTCACCGTCAGCTTTGGTCAACCCCTCGGCGTAGTGATCCCATCGGTCGGGCTTCTGAGATTCCGAGTCCTGCCGGAACAACTCCTTGATGCCGGGAGGGACGTCCGTGGAGTGTGCGACTCGCGATCCCTGGTTGCGAGAGCGCACGGACAATTTGAACAGATGAAACAGGTTGCGGCCCACCTGGGACCGACACGCGATGATGGAAAAGGCACTGGTCAAAGTCAAGAAGTCTTGGTCAAGAATATCGAAGCTCTTCTGTTCCAGAAGAGCAAAAAGTGCGAGGTTCACTGAATACATGGCGAACTGGTGGGCGTGTTCCATCCCATACTCAGTTCGATGGAGTCGAGCGAGAGAGGCAATCGATCGCGCGGACGAGATAGCAATGGCAAACGGATTGAACTTATCTTGGACGTCAGAGACTTCGTTCAGATGGGACAATCGTGCATTCGGGCCGAGGGCATCGAAGCAGAGATTAATCACTAGTGTGTGATATCGCATCCTGTTCACTCCTTAGCTTTGGCCATACCAGAAAAAAATATGCGGTACCAACCAGAGGAGGATAATATGGGGGGCGGGCTTTTCAGCTGGATCGAAGCACGGCGGAAGTCCCCGCTGCCACTTGCGGAGGCGCAGATACAGCTCCTGCTTACGCTGATTGTAACCGGGAGCAGAATGTCCTTCCTTCGACAAGCTCCGAGAGATGTCACGGGCAATATCAGACAGCTGGCAAGCATCATCGAAGTACTGACTCAGATAAGATAGTCGGGCTGGGCGAGGAAGGGGATATGGTGTCCATATATCTCCTGCGCCTGCGTCATCCCGGGCAATCCGGTCAATGCTGACTGAGTTCACGCGACTTGGCTTGAGGAAGTTCGTGTGAACAACCCTGGGATAGGATTCGTGCGATAAGGGTTAGTCCACATGATTCCTTGAACAAGGTCGGTTGAGACTTACGTGTCGATTTGATAGAGGCCCCAAGCGGTCCGCTTGATGGAGATAATCATGTCTTCCGACATCTGCGATGTCTTGAGCTCTCGCTTTTTATGATTGATGATCCCTAGAGACTCTGCCATTTCGATGGCACGATGTAGCATGGCATAGCCATGATCACCATTTCCGGAGACGGAATATCTAGAAGGCATTCGATCATCAGACATCGAAGGATTCATAACGACAAACGGTAGCTGCGTGGATAGGGGACTTACCTCTCATATAGGAGAAGGATTGCTTGCAGGGTCGGTAGTCGAATATCATTGCCCCTTTCGAATTGGTGTCTTTTCATGTGGCGCTCCGCCTCCGCGAGGAAGTCCGCCCCTTTCGTCCTCACATCCCCAGGAACCGTGTATACCTCGGAATAGGGTGAATAGTACTGTGCCGGTGCCATCCCACAACTTCAGTAACAGATCCAGAGCGATGGGCGAATTTTCCCGAACTTACACATGCGTTAGCGAGCAGCGCATTGACTAAGAATGGGCTGCAGAAGTCTGAATCCACATTGCCCATCGCCATGTGCTTCAGGAAGGATTTGCGGTCCATAAACGCATAGAACGGGTAGTCCCATGTCAGATACAGGGAAACTAGATGGGATACGAGGTCGTCATCATCCGTGACGCTGGTCCAAGGCTTCGCGGGCACCCGAAAGGGAGCATTCCCCGTCAGATATCGGATGTCCATCATCATGGGCCGGAACTTGGGTGCTTCACTTTCCACCTCGATCCCTTGCCAAATGCCGTATAGCTGTTGCAGCGCATGGGAGTCCTTTCCGGCAGCGCGCATTTCGGCGAGAGTCTGGTCCAGATAGGCACGCACTTCTTCTATGGAGGCGTGTTTGCGGATGAGCTTTAGCAGGGCGTCGGCATGGTTGGGAACCGCCGATCGCACGACCTCGAAGAGATCGTAGAGCATATCATGATGATAGTTCGACGTGTCAGTTAGATACTCGGCCACGGATTGACAGGCCTCAGCTGAAGTCTCGTTGGACGCCTCGTGGCCCGGATGTGCGTGGACCATAGGCGAGTGACGGCCATTCTACGGGGAGGATGTGATCGGTCAACAATCCAGTATTACAAGTTGGGGAAGGATGAATCAAGATGCAGGATCAGGGATTCACCTACCATCAGCTCATCCGACTGGGAAAGAGAGCGGGTCGGCTGAATCGGTGGAGAGTTGCTAGGCGACATGGATGGATGCTAAGCATAAGATACTAGTGTAGTAGGTGATAGGCGAAAGGGAGCAGGTGGTGAAACACGTTCCGTCCAGCAGGTGTCAAGCCTCAGTCCTCACACAAAGAGGGTTAGGTCAACCCGAATCTAGAAAGCCACATTGAAGACTAAATAAACGTGGGATATGCAGTTTTAGCGGAGGGATGGGTGGGATGAGGGGATGAGAATAAGTGGATGAAGATAAAAGATGGGAAGGAAAAAGAATGCGGGAAAAGGAAAATCCAAGGATGATGCAGTCAGTTGAAGAGTGGGTGGGTTGGATGGGATTGTGGGCGGTGCCTGAGACCCAAAACTGACTACACCATGACATCAGTCCGCTTGCCGCTTCAGTCACTCTCTTTTCTCTCCACTGCAGCCTCCCACCTCTTAGACCTTCTAGGGGATGGTTCTCAGTATTAGGTAGTTTATTCTCGCCACTATCCATCACCTGATCATCGTCATAGCCCGCAGCCCTGCCTGCGTTTTCTCATCACACACACCAACCACACATTGCGTTCGGAGAGAAGTCCATCGAACCTCGGTGAAACCATGGAGAGAGTATTGAAAACAAGGGGAGAAAGAAAAATATTTAAGACCATTCAAGATCAGCAACCCCAAGCTGCGAAACGATCTTCGCTAACATGAGTATGTTATAGCGGAGCTTGAAGTGCAACGAGCTGCAGCTGCAGCAACAGCTCGCTTCACAGCCGAGGTCGCAAATAGGCGCAATTTAAAGTGTGAGCTTCTCCAGCCACCCGGCGTGGGTCTTCCCAGAATTGCCCTCGGCAAATTCGGTCCGGGGGAGGCTGCCGACTGTATTTTTCAATACGCATACGGGGACCATTGCGGGCAATAGGCAACACCGTTTCTGTCAATCTGATTCGCGAACGCCGACACACTGTTTTCCAGCCCTATGACCTTAAACCTCCCCAGGGCTGAACAATTGAAGATCAGCCAGGATGGAACCCTCCATCTCTCGGGGGATAAATCATGAAGCGGGATCGTAACAAGCCTAGTTGAGAATATGCCACCACCACGTCATCATCTTGATCAGCCACCTTTCCCCGAGAGGCAGTGGTCGACGGAAGGCCCATCCTAGTCCTTCGCGTAGCTGCATCTCCACCACTCGGCGCCAGTCGACATGGTGCGCAAAATGGAATGGAAAGTGGTGTTGGCTGATCGACTTGATCGTGCAGTCCATCTTCGGCTGCTCCTGCAGCTCTATGTGCGGCTGCAGCAAGGCGGGCTGTTCGCCTTCCAGGTCCAACTCGATCTGCAATGACCCTTGGCTAGTGAACTGGCGCACCTGCACAGCGAGATTATGGTGATGATGGCTTTGATAGCGATGGCGATCGTGCTCGTCAACATCCCGAAGAATGGTGAGGTCAATGAGCGGGTGCTCAAATACCTCCAGTAAACCATGGTGCTCGCTCCCATGCGGTGCGAGGTTCACCTGGAATCGGCCTTCGAAGATCAGGTTCGGTGAAGAGGGCTTGCGATGCACAAAGACTCGCGTCATTCGAAGCGGCAACTCAATCAAAGCAAGCGAATGAAGAATGACTTTTTGGGGCGGTGTGTCGGGCTCGGTCCAGGTGCGACGAGCGAGGCCATCATTTACATAGCGGACGATTTGTTCACTGATTTGAGCTTGATTCATGTGCCAGAGACGTTGGAGGATTTCATTTACCCAGTTGATAGTCTCACCGTGGGCCAGGATCTTAGTGGCGTGATAGCGCTGGCAGTCATCTCGAACGACTCGCTGCATGCGCTTCATGGACACCTTGGTATAGGTGCGACTAGCCGCGAGGACGAACAGTAGCCATGCGAAACTGAATCTGAGTTGACCCACAAGCCACGAGGCGAGACACACGAGCACGATGACTCGAGCCTCCGTGTAGGTTTGCTCGATAGATCCGATCAAGTCGGCTGGCTCGCGAGCACGACCGGGCTTGCCCATGGCAACGAGATGTTCGGTTTGTTTCCTGCTCTGGCAAAAAGCACTCAAGTATCTTAGCAATGCTGAAGGGGAGTTCGCTTGTCATATAGGCAATCAAGGAACGATAGCTGCAAGCTGGGTGCGACGATCATAACCAGACGGTCGGGCGACATAGCGGATGCAAGTGTCGATTGCAGGTTTCATGTTCTGACTCTGAAGAAGAGCAGGCAACCGTAGTCTTTATGTTGAGTGCCACAAGGTGACGAGGGGGAGAACCCGACTAAGGGGTGGGGGGCTTCATGTGGACAAGTGCTTCTGCAGATTCAAGCAGGGCTAAGACTCATAGGGCTGATGCGCCTCCGAAAAATAAAAACGGTATTGCAAATACTGAGTAAGTCTCCCTGGGCTGACCCACACTTGTGGAGGCGCCGGAAATTCCATCTCCCGACACACCGCAATGCACACGAAGATGTGGCTTGGGCTTGTTTGCATTTGGTTTCTCACTTGGGGTGTGTTGAAAAGCGTGGTGACCCGCTCGGTAACTATGCGCTGCCAGGCAATATGCTATCAGACGCTGATTTGACATGGTCATCTTTGCAGCCTCGAGGATGTAGAATACTGAGTTTAATGCTTGATCACTGCCCGACTCCTGAACACAGCTGCCGAGGCACTTTCCATCCGTGCTTAATCGATACGCTGATACAAAGAATGGGACTCGGCTCGTGTTGCTGTTGTTCCCGAGTGTATTTAACCAAGATGAAGGGGCTGGCGCCGTCTCTCTGGTGGTCATGATCAAGGTCCAACCGGCAGCTAAGGCTCTCGAAACAAACTCCAGCTTGCAGTTCTTTCAACATCCCGATGCCTGCTATAACAAACCTTTAAACTGGCCAGCTCGTTCAGTGGTTGATCAGTCTCAAGTGGCAGCCTTACACTTCTACAGGACACTGTGGTCTGATTCAGCTCATACCGAAATCGAGTTCGCCAACGGTACCATCCTCTAGAGAAAGATCGTGTCATCCATCGGCAGCACAAGTTGATATCGCATGAGTCGAGCTGTATTAGAAAGTCAATGCTTTTCATACGAAGCCCGACCCATATTCCTTCGGCATCGGACGATTACCCCAGGCCCATTCGCTTCGTCTTCATCGTCGCCGCCGCCGCCGACGAGGCCAACAGAACCACATTCATTCTGGACCTGAGCATCATTCAAGGAGGCTTCGCTTCGATTTGTTATGACCTCTTTCGCCTAGACTTGGCCCCCGCCCTGAGTGTATACTTCGACGAGGATGCTGGCGCTTAAGCCGATTTAGATGGCTGTGCTGTCGTGGCAAAGCGAGTTGCCGGGTCCTCGTGAAAGGCGCTACGTGTACCGTACTGATTGCGGGTTCACGAGGGCGAATATCAAGCATGAAAGGCAAGTGTCGTGGCTAGGGCTGCGTGGCCGGTGGGATGGAGGATGGAGGTTGAGGGCATTATGAGGTGTGCCGGATTGAGAAGAGTCGACGGAAAAATTAACGCATGGCACTGTGGTGAGAGGGATTGGTCAATGCTGAATGTCTTTTCAAAGCGATATGGGTGGTTTTCTATTGGCTTAGTAGCGCTCATGACTGCTTCTGTATGGTTGCGATTGGTTATATGGCTTGCCAAATGTAGCAGCTATGTCGGCTGACGTAGGGTTGGTCAAGTAGGATAAATGTTCTTCGGTTGTTTTGGAGGATACTTCCCTCATGCGAAATGCGTGCTTTCGGTCAGCAAAGGCTGAATGCAATGGGTAGTGGGCGACTTGGGTTACAGTCCTACCATAAATCAATAACCTTGGGTGCATGCCATGGAAAAATCCCACAACGTCAGGATGTATGGAGACAGCTTCGGTTGCGTTCAAAAATCGACTGAATTGGGTGAGTCGCTCTCTCATCCTCGTAGAATTGTTGTCAGTGCTTGTCATGATACTTTTTAGGTCAACTGCTGAATTCGCCATCATCATGGGCATGGAGTACTGGACCTGTGCGGTGTCTCTGACGGAAATACCGAGGAATGGCTTTCCTGTTTGCATATCTGTCAAATTCTGCTTCCCCTCCAACAATGACTGCATACAGACTTTGACTATTTTTGCATGTTTGACGGGGAGCCAAACGAAGACCACTAAAACTCGTTGCTTGTGATTTCCTCCCGTCCAGTGCTTTCCCGCCATAATCCATCCCCACCGAGTAACAGATTATCCTTCATTCGTTCCTCGCGCTATTTGTGAGGACGCACTTTCGACTACGATCAAAAGGTGAACAGAATGACCCCAGGTCGTTTGCAATGACTGCAAGGGCATCCCTCACTCGTGCTGGAACGGCAATAAGCTGACAACCCGGCTGCTTATGTAGGTAGTTATGTCACTGGCCCGATGTCTCAACGTTGTTATGCATGAGACAAGACGCTATGACTGAATAGGTATGATGCAGCAATGTCGAGGGATTTCCAGGAAATGGCTGACAGCGACGATCTTCGACGCGACAGGGTTCGTGTTCGTTGTCTACCGCAATGATCGCCAGACCATCACAGAAACCACCTCCTATTCTGCGGTGACAGAGAGCCATAAACGGGATTCATCCTCTAAATGTCACTTGTCTGGTGCCCCTTGATCTAGATTGGGAAAGACAATGTACTTGAACACGCTTCGTATCATCACTGGTCCTCAAAGAGGCAATCTCATTACACTAAGAGCGCTGATCTCTGCACAATGCTCGATCGACATGGGGGGAATTACCTTCCTTGGCACCCCTGGATCCCCGATCACTCGATTGACTAATCAGGCCCGACCCGGCGGCAATCAGATCTCCCCCTAGAGCTACGGGGGGAGTCCCTTCCCCTTCCAACAAGCGACGGAAATTGATTCCAAACCACAAGGGAGCAGACTACCATGACACTCTCAGCGATTTGCACAATGATTGACGCCTCGATTGCTGGAATATGCTGAGTCCTCAATTTCGATGTGACTGGTCCACAAAGCCTCTTGGGTAGGCGCCTGTCTGTTCTCGCTTCGACTGGTCGAATCACTGGGACCGCCACCAGGTCGCTGCGAGAAAGTGGGGAGAGGCAAAGGCCGGGCTAGACAGCACATTTGGAATAATCAACTGATCGGGCGGGCATGATTTGAAAGCTTTTAGGCCTCTCGTCCTGTTAAACCACGGATCCAGCCCGCCCCCGGAACCAGAGCACTCCACGAACACCCCTGCAGAATTGAGGTCTCCTCGTCATTTCTCCTGGTGTAAGCCACCACTGATGGTGCTCGATGACCGTTACTACTATCTCTGAGTCTGTGGTTGCACGTTAGACTTTAGAAGTCTCTCTCTCTCCATCCCATGATTGTGACAATAGACTTTGTTTGTCAACAATCCATATTCCAGCCTGCATCGCTTTCACATAAAGACCAAGACCTGAGCTGGCACGAACACGACCTTTCAGCAACGCCTTTTCCCCGCAACCACAGGTGGCGAGCCGCATAACTTTCGACCCCTTCGACTGCGATGAGCAACTTTACCCTGGAGAATCGCCCGAAAAAGGATCAGCTTGATCCTCCCGCCCCAGGCAAAGCGGCTGTGCGAAAGAAAGTCCGACCCACCTATTCATGCTTAAATTGCCATAAACGCAAAGTTAAGGTATATCCACACCACACTACACTGAACACCTATGCGAGGCATTCGCCACTACCACTTTGTTCCAACCATGTTCTCGGTTGTCTGCAGCTTTGGACTAATGCATACCGTAACAGTGCGATCGTGTCAAACCATGCGGTGCTTGCTGTCTACGGGGCACTCCCTCGGAATGTGATTATGGCACCAGCAAGCGAGACCGCCAGTATATTCAACAAGCAAATCTCATTGACAACTTGCTACGCTCTTGTGAGAGCCTGAAGCAGCAGCTGGCGGAGGCTCGTCAGCTTGCCAACATACCTGCTGTGAAGGCTGAGGAGGGGCCGCTATCGAGAAGGAGACCACTTCACACGGGCCGAAAGACGGACGATTGGGACGATGAAGATGCACTTGAGGGCTCAGATTTGCCTATGGCAGACCCTGAGCAATCATCCTTGATTCCTCGCGATGCTATGGTATTTAGCGAGGACCACGAAGGCAACACATTTCGGCGAAGTATGCTCTATCCTTCCGCACTCCAACTTACACTTGCCCTGCCACTTACGATGGTCTAGTTCACAGGTCCACTCCGATTCTGAAAGAGAAGCGTGTTCTGACAGACCCGATGGCAGCTGGTGTCGCAATAGAGTTCTTCATCGAACGATTGGTTGATAACTTCAGCCCGGTCAATGTCAGCGGCACTATTGCACTACGTGAGGCCAAAGAGATGCGAATACTTTCACCAATTCTCTACAAGGCTTTTGAAGCAGCATCACTCACATTTGCCGGAAGACAATATCATAACAAGGCTCTCGAGGTTGCAGGCAATTCCAGGTATATCAAAGTACTTCATCTTCTCCAGACGGCGTTGAATGAACCTGAGGGCAATCAATCGACCGAGGTCTTGCTAGTGGTCCTACTGTCTACCATAATTGAGGTATGTTTCCGGTTATAAATGGAGCAGCCAGGCATCATACTCACTATCGCGAAAGGCTTTCAGACAAACGTCGGTAACCTCCATTTTTCGACACCAGCTGGGTGGCTTGGCGCTACTGCGGGCACGAACCCCTTATCGCCACCGGCATGGAGTCGAGAGATCTCTGTTCGTTGATCTGCGACTATACTGGGTTAGCAACTATCCTCTCGTTTTGGATTTGACCTCCGAGCGGAATTGACTGAAGTTTATAGGTTACTGCTGCGTTGGTGCATCGCAAGCCGACTTTCTTGTCCTCGGACGAATGGCTCACAGTGCCTTGGTCTTGCGACGGACCGTCAAAAGATATCCTTCAACATCTCCTCGACGTTGCCGTTCATATTCCGGGCTACCTCGCACAGATCGACGATCTCCAAGCGGCCTTGCAAAATCCGGCAGTCTCGCCATCCGAGTTAGTCACAATGCAGTCCACTATCTGGGACCGTGCCCTTGAACTGCAAAGCATGCTCGAGATGTGGAAGCGTACCTACGCCGACACATACGCCAGAGGCGGACCACGCGAGGATTCCAGCCTGGACATCCATCCCAGCAATCAGAAGAGCGGGGCCGAGGGTCGCGGGGAGGACGTCTTCCCCGTCTTCCGGTGTCGCGATCCCAGCACGATGCAGATCACCGCAGCCACCAACCTGGTCTACCCGGATTTATTACTAGCCACCTCGATGTGCTACTACTGGGCGCTCAACCTCGTCATCACCGTCACCGACACCGGGCTTATCGACGTACTCGGCCGGCAGGAACGCTACGAGTTCGCCTGCAACATCTGCCGCAGCATGAAGTATTACACCCAAATGGTCCCCGGCTGCCTGGTCTCGCGGATCATGTTCGTGCTCCGCACCGCGTTCGACAACTTCCCCGACGGCATGGTCGAGAAGCAGTCCATGTCGGAGCTGTTCGCGTACATCGGCCGCCGATATGCGTTTCCGGTCTTTTCGAACCAATGTACCTCTTCGTCGGTGAAGGCGGAAAGGGAGTAAAATAATTCCACCGAGGACGAAATCTCTCACTTGCGTTACGATTGTCTTTGCCTTGATTTTAACATCTCGATTGTCGCAGCGAGCGAGCAAAATGGAAATGGTTATGGCGTTTTTTGTTTCTGCGGGCAGGAGGGTTACGGGCGGCGTCCTAAGGCGAATTCATTTTTAATTTGTGTACCTCGAATGTACGATATGGTAAATAGTTGAATGCTTGTATACGGTGATGCTCCATATGCGCAAATGATGCCTTGACGTCGCGGCTTATCCACGAAAATATAAGTGGCAATGAAAGCTGGGTCATAACAAGTAGGAAAATTGCCTTTGGGAAATTTATTATCTACAGGTTGGATTGTAGATGTGAAATAGCCACGTTGTGAGTTAATTTTCTCTTTCGCGAGTATATGTACTAGTCATTGCTTCGATCTATATATATATTGTGAAGATGATAATGGGAGGGCGCCAGCAGCTGCCGCCAGCTCGAGTTCAGATCTGAGTCCTAGTGCGAAATCACACCGTGAGCGTCCTCCAGAAATGTAGGCATACTAAAGTGTCCAGTCAACCAGGACAGATGTGAGCACGTTCACATGATTCCATTCAGAGAAAGGGAGGTTGGAAAAGTGGTCGTGCCCAGAGCCTGCTCGAGAAGCTCAACCACTAGGCTAGCTCGGAGAATGGTAGGTGGCAGTGCAGGAAAAAGCGGGGGGGGCAAGAGCCCTCTCGCTAGACGCGGCGTGACAGCTCAATAATTGCGTCAGCAGCTCGGTATATATTACTGCGCGGCAAAGTTGGTGAGTGTGGCTAGACGCTAAACCGACCGCCTTGCTCTAGATTCCAATGCTGAGAAAGCCAGGGTGAGAATGTTTAATCTAGGCGGGTCGGCAAGGTGTTGCTTGAATTGTCTGGGTAACGCGGGGGCGGGCGGGAAATTTTGGCCCATGACGGTGACGGTGGTGGAATTGGTTGATAATTATCCGTTGGATGGAGGCATCATGGGTCCATCCGGTCACATGCAACTGTGCTCATTGCCAAATGTGGAGACCAGTCCGGGAGGGGCGAGAGGGGAGGAGGGAGGTCGGTACGTTTGTCCACAGCAAAGCAATTTAGCAAGCACGCGCACACAACGTGCAAAGCAATTAACTTTTCGGTTGGCCTCTGGGCCCGAGTCGCTCTCGGTCGACTAACTCGCTCGATTCGGGGAGACCGTTGAGGCTTGGGGGGAAGGGACAAACCCTGGAACGTATGGCGACTGTGCGTGGTTGAGTCCCCGCATCGGTCCAGGGTCGGTCGCCTAGATTGCTCTTGCAGGCACTAGGCGTGATCGAGGCTAGTAAGCTAGCGTAGTGCGTGCGTGCGTGGTGCTTGTGGTGTGTGTCCCCTCGGTGCTCCGAAGGCCACCTCCCCATCATCATTACCCGATCTGCAATCTTTTTTTCTTCGGGTCGTGAGTCCTCGGTTTGAATTATTTTCCCTAATTTCGGTTTTGCCTCTCGGTTTCTCAAGGGAACCCAGTATCCGTGGGGACCGAGATGAATGCATTCTGCGCATAGCACTCCATCATCGGGTCGATGTCCAGAGGGTCATCGTTGAGATGGTTGAAATGGTCGACGGAGGGGTCTCGGATTGTGAAGCCCCCTTCAGGGTCCACGGGGAGCCAATTTGCGGTGAACCGGGTGCTCCCGTCAGGCATTTCCAGCGGGGTCAGTCCTTCCATCGCATTGGGAGATTTCAGTCCATTGTTATTATTCATTCCAGTGTACCCTTCCCTGGCCTTGCCTTTGACCCCGCCGGTGCAAGTCTGCTCCGAACCTGCTTGCAACGCAATCGTAGGTGGGTGTGGGTCATTGAACAGAGGCTCAGACATCATCATCCCATCGGGGGGGTAAGAAGGGAGCGGCAGGCTGTCCGACAGTGCCATGTCTGGAAGCCGATAGTACTGTGCGGGCTCTCTCAAATTGCACTCCCGTTCCCAGTCTCCCTCACTCCCACTGTATGATTGATGGCTCATTTCCGGCGAGCTGCAGGGCTCTTGCGCAACGGGCGATTGGCCGAATGGGGGCCCAGCGCTGAAGCTATCGTGCGATGACGACTGTGGTGACGAGATAGCTCCCGGAATGTTCATGTAGAGAGCTCGCTCGGTGGCTAATTGGGAGGTCGAACGGAGAAGGTCATCGAGGGAGAGGTGGGCGGGGAAAGACTTCGAATTGGGGGTAGTGTTGAAAGTGGATTCTTCAAATCTAGTAGTGTGAGGGGCTCTAGTCAGCCCATGTGCAGAGAGATTCCCGGCTTCCTGCAAGCCCGACCCCTAGGAGTAACTTCTGGTGGAGGAGAATCTAAATTGCTGTGGCAGACTTACATCGAGGTGAGTTTATCCACGAATCCTGAGGAAGCTGGCGTATCTGGCATCCCTGATACATGGGGTACCCGAAATTGGCCCGAAGCAGCTTGTGCCATTGCCGACTCATAGTCGGCGCAAAGCTCGGGGCTCAACAGATGGGCAGACGAAAGGTCGAATTCATTGACACCCAGCTGATTCCCGTACAAGTCTTCGCCGGCGAGCTCCGGGTCCAGAGCGAAAGCCTGGTTGTCTAACGAGTCCAATGGAAACCACATTGGCACGTCTGTCGAGAAATCGGAGTCGAGCATTGCTTCGGTATCTTTCGCGAGAATAGGTGGTAGGAGGGTGACTCGTTGTTTTGTAGATTGCAGTCAGAATCTCGCGCTCATTGCAAGGTGAGCATTGACGCGTTCAGTAGTTTGCTATTGTTGTGGGTAAAGATGAACCCTTCGGTCACGAATGCTTCGAGAGCCACTACAAAAACCTCTCCGGGGGGAAAGCACGGGGCGGGAAAGCAAGCTTATAACCTGCGCAAAGCAGGATAAACTCCGGCGAACAGCTTGAATGAAACATGATTGAAAGAGGTGGTGGAGATGCAACTTGAACAAGTACAGCATGGCGGCCACGATGGGGATCGGTAAATTGAAGAAGGGAGCAAGGGTAATAGTGATTCGATAGAAACGAGATCTGATCACAAGGAAGCATGGTTTTTGGGTTCCCCGGGGTAGCCTTTTTAACCGAACAATTCCAACTCCCCCAGGTTTTCAATCAACCCAGCCGAGCAGGAGTATCGGAGTTGATTGCGTCTGGCACCATCTGGCACCGTGCACTTGCATGATCTCGGTCCTTTTAATGGTAATTAACCGAGAGCTTGAAGAGCTCGGACCGAATGGGAGAAAAGGCGAAGGCGGGCCGTTATTTTGGGGTCAAAGAAGTCTGGGGTTTGCGGGGAAAAGCCAACTGGTCAACTGATCCTGTCCAAATTTGCCGGCTTTCACATCCCCAGATGGGATCGGTTAATCGTCACCTGGAAGCCAAATTTACCTTTGCGCTTCGCCTGTCTGACCGTCCTCGATCAAAAGAAAGAGATTCTTATGGTGGTTCTACTATCCTACTGAAGACTATGCATAGCGTCGGAACTTGTTCTCAAATATGTACATTCCAAGGTTTATGTAATATATACAGAGCACGATTGTAGTCGAAGTCAGGATCAGCTGGTACCTGTCTCCTACACACCGCATCGGGGCCAGACAGTTCCCCACTCCTACTAGTGTTGCAGGTCGGTCGGCTGTTAGGTCGAAGAGCTACGACCATGCAGCATGTGCCTGCATATCACTCCGGGGAAAGGAGAAGGGGGTAACGGGCTAGATCTGATCCCTGCAAATAGTCTAAGATCCTTGCCACTTCCCTCCCCACCCTTTGTACTCGAGACAAGAGTAGAGCCGAGGAGGCCGTGTCGCCTAACCTCACAGGGCCAACCCCGTGCCCTTTCGTGTCCATCGGTACAGCGCTAACACAGCTTTGCGTCGGTGTCGAATCTCGCTGTAATTAACGGGGCGCCCGCGCGCCTGAGCCACTGCACTCCGCATGACCTGCCGGAAATTCCGCTGGTATTCCGTATTCAGAGTGACAACACATGATTCCGTTGCACGGATCATCACCTCGCATGCATTTAGAATCCCATCCCCCGCCTCTTTTTGCAGCCGCTCCACGATCAGCAACAAAAGGAAACTCCCTTGTAAAAGTTGGATTCCAAAGAAATATGGGATAAAACTGATATCGGGGTCATATCGTAGTATATGATCCACTGAGTCCGCAGCCTCCAACACATGGGAGATGGTCGAAGCAAATGCAGGGGAAGACGTCCAGAAGTCCTTGTCTTCGATAAGTGACACCGGGTCCCATTTCCCTACAAGCAAGATGTGGAGCACATGAACCAGGTACGATGCGTAAGAGATCACCGTCTGTGTATGCCACGCATACGCTTGCGCAAGTGAAGCTTCGGTCGGCTGCTGATCGGGCTTGGGAGGGAAAGCACCAGGCATAGGGCCATCAGGATCAGAGGCGATGGCTGCAAAGGTCGTGAGACTAGCTTTGTAGATATCGAGCTGTCGTAGTACCTCACTGACGTGGCTATCCCATGCATCTTTGCCATTAAATCGCGTACCAAGCATTGGGTGATTCCGTGCTTGATTCAAGTCTATCAATTCGCCAGTGATAGTCATCAGGGGCAGGAAAAAACCAAAAATCGAATGATCGTGGCAGACAAAGTTGGGGAAGACGCGGCGTTTGTTCTTCTCACCAGACAGCAGACATTGTGGTCCGTCAGTCTTGGGGCTGTTGCTATGGATATTACCCGCTTGCCACGATCCCTCATCCAGTGGCAAAAGTAGGTCTTCACTCTCCGCGTCGAGCAATGCTAACGGACGGTTGTAGCAAAGCGCAAGGTGACGATCCATGATGTATAGTAGCCACCATGTCCGTCGCCGCTCCTCGCGATGCTCTTCGGTAATTGTGGTACGTACATCGTGGCTCTGATCGCATACGCAATTCAGGCTTGGCCGAGCAGGGTTCGAGTAATCAAAAAAGGGGCCGGTGTCGACGCCACTCCAGCCGGCCAACGAATAATCGAACGACGGACTAGAGCCATCCGTGTGGTGACTATCCTCATTAGGCACTACCTCGATCTCTTGATTCAGCTTGAGCTCTCGGGCTAGAGTAAATGCGGCATG